CAGAAGACCTGGGTGTCTGGGATGAAGGCGATCCGGGAAATGATTCGGGAACACCATGATGTCTAGAATTGAATGAATACTGTATTTCATCAAATACAGTATCCTACTAGTATATCAAATGCTGAGTAATTCTAAGTATATCCATCGTTGTGGAGACATGTAAATAAATGAGAGAGTAAGTAAATAAATAAACAAAATATTGTGGATGTGTAGGCAATTAAAGCACAATAAGTGAATCCTTGTTTCTTCAAAACTAAATAGCACCCTACTTATTTATTCATCCCCTTATTTCGTTATCTACTCACAGACGAATAAATTAATGAAAAAAGATCACAGTCACGTCACCCTTCAATTTTTGAGAACCCCTCAAATTGGCTATGAATTCTTAATCTAGCGACTTTACTTTCTTCTCTTTGAATGGCAATGAATTTCGAATTTTGAAAACATCACTCGAAGTTCGTTTGAAATTTTGGATTCAGTTGAAAATTTCAATTTGAAAGAAGGGTTTTTTCGTCGATTTAACACCTTCTGTTCTCTGCGTCAGCTTCTTTGAAAAGGCATTTGCAAAATTTGAGAAACATCTGAATGTTTTAGTGGTGTCATTTCGATGATAAATGCACAGTTCATTCGGAATACATCAGCATAAATTATCATGCTATTGTTACGGAGAAATCAATGATCGGCGACATAATATAGTCGAGGAAATGTTGCGCTACATTTGTTAGGTCCATGAATCGAATTTCTTTCTTCAGCCTTGGAAAATTAACTGCTCTTGGTTCTGTCCTTGGTGACTCCTGTTCTCTCAGATATCCAGCAGCTCGGAAGTGGATGCAATTAGCGATTGAACCATTTTTGACCATTGCCCTTCAAAAGGAAATTCGTCCCGTACATTTAAGGTCCTTTGAAGACATTCGCGATTCACGTTGGTCGCTCAGCGAAGCTTTCATAAGGAGGGGAAGTTAAGTCGTGGTAGCTGCGTTCAAACATTGCGGCAGCGTCCACCAGCGACTCAGCGTCCATCAGCGTCGACCGGCGTCCGCTGGCGACGATCAGCGTCTCGAGGTACTAGGAAAGTATGGATATCGATCTAGCGTGCGGACTGCTGGCAGAGTATAGGAATGAGGAGGGAGGCGTCGGGAAACTTTGGCGTCTGGAGCCACACCGTACTACCATACAGAACCGTACTTTCATTCGGTGGGGACACTGGTGCTCGCTGACGGACGCTGTTAGCACTAGATCGATATCCACACTTTCTCAGTCTCTCGAGACGCTGATGGTCGCTGGCGGATGCTGGTGGACGCTGAGAGACGCTTTTAGACGCTGCCGTTTGCTAGATCGATATCTATACTTTCCTAGTCGCTGACGCTGACTGGCGCTCGAAACGTTGACGGTCGCGTGCTTGCTGGCGGAGCTGCCGCGAAGTATGAACGCAGCCTAACACTGCTAAGACCACGATTACGAATACATTCAGCATTTCAGCGCACATCAGCTGGGGGGGGGGCATTTTGCACTTTCGCTGCTTATCGTTGTCCTTTTCATTGCTCTACAAGTTGACATAGTCAGCCTCTACAAAGTGTGATTTGTGTTACTTCAGGACTTCACAAAGATTTCACAAG